TAACAAGTGAGGTTACAAAAAGTGTTCACTGTCTAAGGTCACTCTAGTTACCTACTATCTTAAAAGAAGTAGATATAAGATAACAATATTTATTATATTAATCATTTTTTTTTATTTACTTGTAACCTAAAGTTTTGTCACTCATAATCAAATTTATAACCCAATGTTGTAGAAATTTGCATTACTTTGTACTAATTAAGTAAATAAAAAGGTGAACATATTATTTAACTCATATTTAAGTGCTTAAGAATTATTGAACATATTTTTTAAAAGAAACAATCTTTATTTGTAATGCATTTGAAGATTTAGCAGTATGATACAAATTTAATGTTCTATTTTGTGCAATTCCAAATGAATATTAATGGAATAACAATATCTAGATTCGTTCAAATTACAAAAAATAATTAGTTTGATTATTGAACATTTTTGTAATTTCTTTATTTGTTGAATAGTTAAATAAACTAAAGCTTATTTAACTCGTGGTTTACTTGGTTTCATAAAGCGGCATACTTTATTTGGTAAAATAAAACCACATTTTTTTGCATAGTGCTTATGCTTTTATTTTTATGTAAAAAACCCGGATATTTTATACATATGTAACATAATAAAGTTGTGAATATTTTTTAATAAAGAAAAAGGTATCTATTTCAAATACTATAGAGTAATATGTAGTAGTCAATTCCAGTATTCCAGCGTCATTAGTTCTGGAACACAGAAGTTCGGTTTAGAAAGGATTTTGGCTTCTTTAATTCGAGGTATTTATATCTTTTAGGCTAGTAAAAGTTTGATTGTAAAAGTTTGATTATATCGAACACTATAAACTTGCGTTTTTGAAATTGGTCGCTGATTGGTTCGGAAAATATATAGTAAATTATGCCTAATTATTATTCCTTATTGGGAATTAAGTCAAACAAAAAAAAAATGCAATGATGACGTTATTTCCCTGCACAAATTTAAAGCATGTCGTGTAACGAGATATAAATCACTGTTTATCGTATCCCATGTGCTTATAGATTGTGGTAATAATATACTAAAAATTTTCGAAATCAATGCCAGCGCCAATACTAACGCCATTTGTGATACAAGTGCTAGACCAGAAGCTAATTTTAGCCGGGGTAACAGTGAAAGGAGGATGCATTTTATTGCTTTCTCCAAACTAATTTGCTGACAATTCATAATATCATTATCGTAACCAATTCGGATGTTTCCAGATCCTCGAGTTGTCCTGATATTTCATTAAGCTCAGGACGTTTGTCCGGATTATGATCCCAGCAGCTTTGATAAAGTTGAATATATTGGTTTGGCGTGCCTTTAATAGGTTCTTCTCTTGCTCCTTGGAATATAAGACAAGCAACTATAAACTGGTCTTCAGCTGATTGGAACGGTGGTCGGCCACTTGAAATTTCCCAAAGAAGTACACCAAAGCTATAGATATCAGACTTCTTGCTACGTTTATATCGGGGACATTCAAAGCATTTAGGATCAATATATGCTTTCATTCCATCCACAAAGGCTTTAGGTTCTGAGGTTTTTGATGCCTCATCTTTTGACAATCCAAAATCTGCGATCAATATTTCATCTTCATGAACTAGAATGTTTTTGGAGTGCTGAAACGAAAAAAAATAGTTATTAACAATAGAAATATTTTTTAACCAAAAAATAGAGTAAAATTTGATTTTTTTTTTTTTTTTTAACACTATCAAATGGAGAATGCCTACAAGGTCTCTATGTACTATATTATTTTCATGTAAGAATATGAGTCCTTCTAGAATTTCATGAGCTATTCGAATTTTGTCAGTCCATTCAAGTCTTGAGAAATTTGTTTTTAAATAACTGCGTAGATCTCCATTATTTGCAAATTGTAAAATCATATAAAAGTTACTTGAAACATCTATTATTAAATATACATACTTTTATTAATTTCATATCAATCGAAATGTAAACACAACCATTATTTACCAACCTTGAGTAACTCCGTAAAACTTAATAATATTTGGATGCTTATAAACTTTTTGTATTTTTCGTAAAGGTTTAAGCTAAATAAATATAATAATACGTATGACTTTACTATAATATCTTTTTGAATGATATAGAAAGTAACATAATAAACTCATACCTCCTTAACAAATTCTTGAATATCATTCGAAGGTTTAATTTTTAGTTTTTTAAGAGCAACTATTAATCTATGATTTTTCCATTCAGATTTATATATATTTCCGAATCCTCCTTCTCCAATTTTTTTAAAATCAGAAAATTCAGTATAGTCGTGATATTCAATGTCTCCGATGTTAATAGTTTCTTTAAGCCATTCCATATTTTAATTCGATCCTTATGTGTTAAATATTGAAGGGTTGAAGAAAAAAGATTTTCTTTTTTGAATCAATGTTATTTAAACGCAGTAGTATAAATGATTTTATCTAAATAATAAAACTACGAACAGCAGCAAAGTAAGAAAATCAATTTTCACTTATGCAAACAATTCAATATAACACAGATATAGGCGTAAATTACAGAATACCAAAAGACTTTGTTTCAGTATGTAGTACAATATTAGGTGTAGCCAAAATTTTCGGAAATGGTCAGGAGTTTACTAATTTTCCCTTAATTTCTATTGGACACTAAAAATACTGTTCCTGATTGGACAAAGTTAATTCTCTAACATTATGACCGAAGAAAATCAAATACGAAAAAAAAACACATTAAAACTATAAAACATATAATTAATTCTGATACTAAGGTAAAATAAGACATAGATACTACTAAAATGTTGCAAGGAAATTAACACTGCTGTCACAGTGACGACTTAAATATTCACTTCCAGGTTTTCACTATCACGCATTAATATTGCTATACATTACATTAGCATAACTTAGGATTTAGCATAATTTATAAAGTTCCGAATATAAAATTTTATTTACCTTTTCAACTTTTTATATAATTTTGCACCTTCAACGTTATTTAATAATTTTAAATATATTTATAAGACATAGATGTGATGATAAATAGCTAAAAAATTTAACGACCGATTATGTATCTAATGATTTTTTATAAGAAAATGCACAATTTTTATCGTCTACAAAATTTAAAAAAATTTACATTTTAAAGGCTTTATAATTTCTAGAAAACTATACATAAATCAATATGCCATTATTACAGCATTATGATTAAATAAAGTTATTGTAATTTATTACATTAAAAGTTAGTAAAAAAACATGTAATTTGTAAAACTACTTTAGAATTTATATGCCGATTTTCATATGATTGGTTGTTTAAGTCAATTTATCAATAATCACTGAAATTAATCTGACCCTAACAAAAATGACCAGAATTACTTTGTCAATGAATTGACTGTCGGTGAAATAGTCACTACCTATTAGTAATGAAGTAATGTGGTCATTGATTAATAGTCAATGTTCGTTGGTATGTGAGTATGAGGTAATTTGGTAAGTATGAAGATCATAATACAACAGAAGGAAATTGATGATAGTCAATTTTGTGAACCCAATTTTCGTTCTGGTTATATCTATCCCTTCTACCCTACCTGCATTAGAACAAGTGAATCTGTTAGACTCATATGCTAAAAACCGCCAAATACGACCTATTGAGACGACATCCACATAAAAATTCAACGACCTGTTGGGACTAGTGGTATATCCGAGACTGTTTCGGCACCATTTAGCACTTTCGGATTTTTGGTCAATATTTAAAAATTATAGCATATTAGTCGTATGATAACAAATTTTTCATCGGAGATAATGTCACTCAAATGGCGGAAAATATTATTGATATTTGGGCAATTTGGAATTCGAAACTATCACGTATGTGTGACACCATAAGGAACAGGTTTACGCGTTACACTAAAACATTTCAAGGAAATTTGAAATGTAACCTTATTTAAGAAACACAACGAAATAACCCAAAAAAATTTATTTCAATTTAGACTGATATAAAATGGCAGTAAAATTATTTGAAAAACTTTCAAACAACTACCTCGAACTTCTTAATGAAGAAGAAGATTTTAATGTAGCAATTAATATTGGTGAATTTCCAGACGTCAAGACATTCCGTGCACATTCACCAATTTTAAAATATCGATCTTTGTATTTTCGTAATGAATTAGAAAAATCAGTTAAGGATGAAAATAATATTAAAATAATTAATTTAAAACATATCTCTGTTAAACAATTTGAAATCATTATTAAGTAAGTTATATAATCCTCATTTTAGAATGTATATTTATTTAAAATAAAGTTTTTTAATGAATCATTAATTTTTATATAAAGGTATATCTACGGAGGGGTGGTTTTGTTAGAAACATTGGATGCATCATTAATCTTTGAACTTATTTTTATTGCTTATGAGTTGTTTTTTGAAGAATTAGCCAAATGCCTTGAATCATATTTAATTGAAGTCAAGGCTTCATGGCTTCGATTACATTTTACTCAAGTTTATGAAAAAAGTTTTCAAAATAATAAGCTTTTAGAATTACAAAATTGGTGCAATAATATTGTAGTAAAATACCCATATAAAGTTTTTGAATCCGAAAATTTTACTTCTCTTCAAGAAAATGCGTTAGTCTCATTATTAAAGCGTGATGATTTACAAATGGAAGAAGTAAAAATTTGGAATTATGTTATTAAATGGGGAATTGCTCAACATCCTAGTTTATTATCAGATCCTGATAAATGGTCTCAAAAAAATATTCATACTATGAAAACTGTCCTAAAAAATTGTTTGCCTCTTATTCGTTATTTTCAGATGTCAGATAGTGATATTGTCAAGCATGTTCAACCATATCAAAAAATTCTTGAAACTGGGCTTTGGTATGACATATTCAAATGGTTAAATACTTCGAATCAAACAATATCATCAATAATTCTTCCTCCCCGTACAATTTTATCACAAAATCACCCATCTGGAGCAATAGAACCATTTTCAACAATTATTAATGAAGAACATGCAGCTGAAATCGGTTCATGGGTTGATAAAAAAGTAAATACATATTCTGTACGGAGCAATCCGTACAAATTTAAGTTACTTACTCGTGGAAGCAGAGACGGTTTTACTGCTAATTCATTTTGGAAATTCTGTAATAAACAAAAGAATGTTGTTGTAATTTTAAAAGTTAAAGGAACTGATGAAATTCTTGGAGGATATAATCCAGTTGGATGGGATAAACCAACAAGCGGTATTATTTATAAACAATGCAATGAGTGCTTCATTTTTTCATTGAAAAATGGAAATGTTAAAAATTCTATTGTAAGTCATGTTAAAGATATAGGGGAAGATAAGGCAATTAAATGTCATCCCACTAATGGTCCAGCCTTTCGTGGTGGTCTTTATATGCTAAATCAGTTTAATGAAACTAAGGGATGTTATTGTTATTGCAATATTGAGCGTACTAAATATGAAAGAATTAGAGATGCAACTTTATATCTATCAAAACCTGGTTCTAAGCATAATAACAAATCAAGATTTTCGGTAGAGGAATACGAAGTTTTTCAAATTTATAAAAAGAATTTATAAGCTTATAATGTCAAAATTTTGTTTATCATATGATTTATATAATATTATAAAAGCTATATAAAATTTATATAAACGAGAAAAGTGTTAATTGTAAACAGATAATGTTTATTTTACCTATAGAAATTTTTTTGCGCTAAAGCATTATGACCCGAAATATATCTTCCTCTTTTTACAGATTTTGCATACCATTCACTTGCTAATTCTTCATTTATAGGAGTACCTATACCGTACTGATAACAATAACTAAGATTTAATTGACCAAAACTATTTCCACCTTTAGCAGATTTCAAATACAAGTCGAAGGCCTTTTCATAATCTATAAAAGTTCCTATGCCATATTGATAACAACAACCTAGATTACAATAACCCAAATAATTTTTACTCTTAGCAGATTCTGTAAACCATTCAAAGGCTTTTTCTTCATTTTTCAAGGTTCCTATACCACAATGATAACATTCGCCAAGATTATTTTGACCTAAACTATTTCCACCTTCAGCAGATTTAGTATACCATTCAAAAGCTTTATAATCATTTTTAGAAATTCCTATACCATGTTGATAAAATTCACCAATATTATTTTGTGCTAAAGTATCACCTCCATTAGCAGATTTTTGATAACAATCAAAAGCTATCTTTTCATTTATATGAGTTCCTATACCATATCTGTAACAACGACCAAGATTAAGAGAACCTAAATAATTATTATTTTCAGAAGATTTTGTATACCATTTAAAAGCCAATTTTTTATTTTTAGAAACTCCTTCACCATATGTATAACAATAACCAATAATATTTTGAGCTTTCGCATTTCCATCTTTAGCAGATTTTAAGTACCAATTAAAGGAATGAGAAAGATTTTTAATAACACCATAACCATAATAATAACAATTACCAATATAACATTTTCCCAAACTAGATCCTTTAGTAACAGATTTTAAAAACAATTGTAAAGCTTTTTGATGATTTATAGTAACACCATTTCCAGATATATAAGAAATACCAAGAGAGATTAATCCAATAATATGATTTTCTTTTAATAAATTATTTTCAATTAATGAATTATTATATGATAAGTAAGAATTGTCAGAGGCTTGCTTATACATATCAAAAGCTTTGAAGTAATCAATAAGTGTTCCGATTCCATATTCATAAAAAAAACCAATAATGCTAGTAAAGTAATATCTATACTGATGATTATAATATTGGGTAAGAATTTCATTTGGATTTTTATTATTATCCTTTATGTAATTGTTTATATGATTGATAATAAAATTTGTGTTATTCGTTGAAACACCATGTATATTAAATTGTGTTATAAATAATTGATTTAAATCATAAAGAAATTTCTGATCATTATTATTAATAACATCATGTTTCTTTGTAATATTTGAAATAATTAAATCTGTTGATAAAATTTTCGATTCATTTGTTATGTTATTTCTTTGATCATTATCACAAAACGTTATTTTTAATGCTGTAATTACTGAAGAAATAATTTCTAATTCTTTCAATGTTTCCTCATACGAATCACTATAATGTTGTAACAAATTTGTTGAATATAAACTTTTAGATATTTCTGAATTCTCTTTAAGTTCCATGTTTATGTTGAATTCTATAGAAATATCATTATAATCAATATTTTTATCGACTAAGTCTCTATAATTAATATCATTCATATCTTCAAATACGCGTTGAATATTCGGTCGCTGATTTGAATCATGTTGCCAACATTCTAAAAAAAAAACAAATACGTAATATAGTTAATATTATTCAAACTCTATATATAATTCTAGCATAATTATTAAATACCTGTGTAAATTTTTACATATTTTTTAGGTGTTCCAACTATTGGAATTTCACGTTTACCACTAATAATTGCATTTAATAAATTAAAATTATGATATAATCCAGATTCAAACAAAATTACACCATTTGAAATTTCCCAAAGAATAACTCCAATACTATAAATATCCGAACTTTTATTAAGTTTGTAAGTGTTAGGACTCAGTAAGTATTGAGGATCAATATATTGTATGTATTTAAATTTATTTGAAAATTTGTTCTGATATTGAAAAGCACAAATTTTAATATCCCCTTTATGAACAAATATTCTTTCGGAATGCTAAATTAGTTAAAATAATTTAGCATAGTGATTTAGTTAAAATCCTTAAAAAAGAATGAAATTTAAAAAAGAACATACCAAATTCGTATGAATAATATCACTTTCATGTAAGCATTTGATAGCACTAACAAGTTGTTTTGCGAGGCGTAATTTATTCTCCCAATTAATCACTTTAAAATTTTGTTTTAGATATTGTCGAAGAGTTCCATCATAAGCGTATTCATGAACTAGTACAAATTCATCCATACTTTGTTTAACTATTCCTATGAATTTTAGAATGTTTTCATGTAATTCCACTTTTTGATATTGGTTTAACTAGAAAATGATAATATACGTTACATTATTGATATTGAAGTAAATTGCGATATTTTTAAAATAAAACCTAAAAACTTACATCAATAATAAAATCATTTAATGTATATTTTTGAGAAAAGACAATCTTACTAAAAACCATAATTTTATTATATTTTTTTGAGATGACTTTACAACTATTACTAGAAAGAAATGTGTTAATAGGTTCAAAACTTTTAAAAAAATCACATGGAAGAAGTTTAATAAAATTTTTCTTAAAAAAATTATCATTATTAGGTTCAAAGGTAATTGAAATCTGTTTTTTGAATATTTGATTCATGACTATTACGTATTTTGGTGTTTAATTAACAATGAAATAAATACGGTTTTTATTTTTGGAAAGCATGCACCCCCGTAGGTGGTATTACATTATCGTACTTCTGAGTACTTGTGTTACGGAAGTTTACGCATTTATGAAAGAATCTACATTTTCATAGCACTTAACTTTCGCAAACACAACAAATTATTGGATACTTGTCAAAACGTTGTGTATATTTGGATATTCAAAGTTTCTTAATATAGGTTTATTGCCGATTACGATGACAAATTCTATTCCTTTTTTTCAAGTGAAGGTTGATCTTTAGTGGAATTTTATTGACATTGATAGTTTATTATAACAATAAAAAATTTAGCACATCGCGTTTAATTTTTATGATTATTATTGCTCGATCAGATACTTTATTAATATATATAAAAACGACGAAATAACATATGGGAATAGGTTCGCTATAA